CTCCAGTCTGGGCGACAGAGTGAGACTCCAACTCAAAAAAAAAGAAAAAAAAAAAGAAAAAATAGCATTTCCAACCCATGACCCCAACCACTGGAAAGCCCCCCAGAATGTTTGCTTTTGCTAGAACAGTGTGAGGTCTACCCGAATTCGCTTCACAATGCCCCTGGGTTAATAAACTGACTTCTCTAGAGAGGTCCATTTTCTGTTGGGGGATGTTTGCCAAGTGCAGTGAGGCTAGTTGTAGCATGGCTGATGCCGAGTTTTGCAGACAGTGACAGTCAACAGCCCCTGCTGCTTCCCTAGCCCCATGGTGGAGGTGATAGATGGTGTTATCAGCCTGGAGCAGGGGTTTGTCTGCCCAATGACACTGCTGGGGTCAGGTGTCCTGTTCCTCTGCCACTTCCATGAAATAGTTAAATCTGTGTGAAAGAGACTTGGGTACAACCTTGTAATTGGTATTTCTTGCATCAAAAGACCATTCCTGCTCCCGATTTCAGTGGTAGCGGTCCAAAGCTGGCTTTGAAGAGGCCCTGGCAGCCTGAAAACAGGTTTGGTGTTACAAGTTGAAAGGAGGATGAAAAATGAAAAATAATGGGTCATTCTGAAGCAGTACCTTTTCAGATGGGGCTAGGGTATAATTTGGGTCCATCTCAAGGGAAATATACTAGCAGAATTCATCAAAGTATCTCCTTGACGGCCGGTGCCTACTGCTTAGGGGACAATCTAATCAGTGGCTTCAATGGTACATCTTGGGCTTAGGACATAACTTAGGCTTGAAGGCAGATGTGCTGCTGCCTGCTAACCTGGCCGCCCCTAGCACTGCAGCGTGCCTGAGATGTGTTTCTGTTTTTTGTTTGTTTGTTTTATTTTTTTGAGTCAGAGTCTCTCTCTGTTGTCCAGGCTGGAGTGCAGTGGCACGCTCACAGCCACTGCAGCCTCGACCTGCTGGGCTCAGGCCATCCTTCCACTTCAGACTTCCAAGTAACTGGAACTACAGGCGCATGCCACCACACCCGGCTAATTCGAGCTGGTCTCGAACCCTTGGGCTCAGACAATCCTCTCACCTCTGCCTCTCAAAGCGCTGGGATTGC